TAATACTACAGATCCTTCCATATTTATATGCATTGTAGGTTTCTCCCCCTCTGTTGTCATAGACAGGCTCTCTCATATATCATTCCATCTTTGTATTAGTATTTTTCTATTATGAATGCATTCCATTATTATATTTTGAGTCCTGTCAAATAACACATTTTCCGTCCTGTTTTTTTCTATCTTATGCATGTGGGCGATGTGTATATTCTGCACTTTTTCTCTCTCTGCACAATTCTTATTGAGTCATTCATCTTTTGCTTGCTTTAATTTGTTTCTAATATTTTTGCTTAACATCCTGCATTCTGTGAATACAGGATTTCAGTGACATCATTTGATTTATCGTACCCTATTTTACCTTCAATATTTTAACTCAAACAGATGTACTCACTTCAACATTCACAGCTCATATGACAAAAAAAGACCTTAATTTCACCCAGGTCCATACTATCAAAAATATCAAGTTCATAAACTTTTCTGACCAATCAGAAAAGGCCCATACACAAGTTTTTGTAGCATTAATGACAGAACCCACAGCAGGTAAGCTTAACCAAGCCATCCATCAGAAGCAATACCAAAGTGTTTCCATCAATAGTGATGTGTTCAGTTAGCAACAAAACCAGCAGCAGCAGCAGAGACTAACTCAACTACAAAATGCAATAATTCATGGAACATTTCTCCTGCAAGACTGTCTCATTTAACTATATATGCATGTTGATTTTCTCTATGTATCTATCTTGACTACTACCTTGAACAAAAGAACAAATGAAGTCTCCCATGACTGATATACAATACTCCAGAACAAGCAAACAATCAAACCTTGCAGATCACAGAAAATAAAAACTCTTTCACTTATCTTAAATACATGTTTTCTCCATTTGTTGTTTTGTTACTTTCACTTTTTTTCGTAACACTAAGGCTACCATTACAAATTAATACTAATTTTATGAATGGATATATGCTCAACAATAAATGGACTGGATCAAAGTGTAAACTCTGTTAATTTATGACAAATTTTTGAATACTCTAGGACTTATCATTATTATATGCATTTCTGCTTACATTAAAATTCTTACTCTGGTTGTTATGCTCATAATACACATCCTTTGATTCATGCACTAGTAATTTCTATTTTTAAAAAAATACTGTAAACTTTTCAAACCCTTTTTAAACACATATTTTTTGTTTATCATATAAATAGTTTTAGTGGGGTTTATTTTTACAGCATATATATATATATATATATATATATATATATATATATATATATATATATATATATATATTTATATATAAGAAATAAATTTTGTTGAAGAAATATTTTTAAGAAAATTTTTAAAAAAATTTCTCAAAAATATTATATTGAATACTCTTAATATAATCAAAAATATTTTAATTTTATTCCTTTATTGTTAGGTTAATGACGATTACAATATTTACGTAAAGTTGCTCTCAAGATATTAAAAAAACTGTAGCATATATTAAAGATTTACTTAAATAAATGCGATCTTTGGTCAAATTTATCAGTACGTGTGTAAACGCAACAAGGGAGTTAACTCTTGTAGTTTAAATATCTACTTTATTAACCTATTTTTTAAATTTTAATATTTTAAAAAAAATCTATTAAAAAGTAAATAAAGTACAAAACTCAGCAGGATTTTGAATGAAAAAACCTGCATCTTATAAACACAGGATTATAGTATATTGAATAAATAAATACGTATAGATTACAAAATGTGTATTATTTACCATCTCCAGTTATATGGCCATAATTTATTTAAAAACAGTAGTGCTCATATTTATACTGCCACAGTTAAAAAGAAATACTTTGATGCTAGTTGAGAAGTAAGATCACACTTGTAATATATTATTTATTGGTAAACATTTGCAGATAGCATAATAAAGGAAACGGATGCTGATAAAAAACAATAGGATGTTATTGAATTTAATGCGTTCAAATTGAACACTAATACTCTCTGTATATATTTTCTTTTTGTTTTTTTAATAATTTCATCCCAAACAAAGCAAAAATATGGCTAATACACAGCGGATTACAGAGAGTGAAAGTGAGAGAAAAGACTGGGCATGGGGTGGGGTTGAGGAAAGGATAAAAGATGAACGGGTTTCAAGACAGAAGATGGTGATTGACATTGCATTTAAATTTTTGAACATTGTAGTTTTCAGAGAAGCAAGTAAATGGGAGGGAGTTCCCCAGTTGGGAAGTGGGAGAAAAGAAACTGTTAGAGTGGCAGTTACATTTAACTATTTCAACATTAAATGGATGGGAACTGGATGTCAATCTAGTAGCAGACTTGAATTCATGTAGTTGGGGCACCAGGGAAAAAAGCTCATCAGAGCAGTGGCCATGAAAATATTTGTAGAAAAGACAGAGGGAAGCCATGTCATATCAGTGAGAAAGTGACTGAAGTCAAGATGCCAGGTCAGGATCTATTACAATGCAGACCTTTCTTTTTATTTTGTCAAGAATCTCAAGATGAATAGCAGGAGCACCAGACCAGATATGGCAGCAGTATTCAATGCATGGACGAATGGTAGATTTGTAAATGTGCAAGATGGACTCTGATGAGAAAAATTTTCTGGCACAACACACTGACCCAACTTTCCTTGCAATAGATGCAGCTACAGTAGTAGCAGTAGTAGTAGTTATATTCAGACTATTTTCCTTATCTTTGTTATTGTTATCACAATGTTTCAGCCATTTTGCCCTCTGGCCCTTTTCAGGGGATTCTCAATTCAGCTACCCATCAGGGAATTTTGAATTGATCCCCACCTCCAGATTAAATAAAAGGTTCAGTTCCACTGCTTTATGAAACAGGCTCCCAAGAGGATACTTCCTCTAACATTAACTTCTTCAAGTCTAGGGTCAACTATTATCTATCTTACATATCCTCATAATCTGCACTTAGTTCTTCCATTTACTTTTATCAACTTCATTCAGTAATACTCTACCTTGAGTGGCACTTGCATGATCTCTTAGCAAAAAAATCTATTTATCATAATGTGGTTATATCTATCAAGCTTTAACAATAAAACTCAATTAATAAATGTGCATTTTTTTCAAATGTATCAACTTAATATATCAATGTATATATAATGTGTATATCCAATGTACATTAGACCAACTCAGCCACAAAAAAACTATTGTCGATCAAACAAGGCGGGATAGTGCCTTTAAGCATAATCCTCTCGTCATAGACTGTCGAAATTTCATATCTGCTCAGCTTTGTATCCAAATGTAAACAAAGCAATTTCTAAAGAAGTAATGGATTTTTTATTTATCAATCTGACAGTTTTTATCACTTTAAACATTATTTTTAGTGGATACTCATATTTGAGTAGACATTCTGTTTATTTATTAAACAGTATATTTATTTCCATCTACTGGCCTGAATATAATATGTATACATAATCCATTTTTTAGCACTGTTAAAAACCTGTTCTTTGTGTTCTTTTTTAAGACAGTTGTAGGTAGTAGTATACCAGTTGTTAGATGTTTTATGCGTTTCACTATCTGCTATTATGCGGAGAGGTAAACTGAAGAAACACCACCAAATGTTTTTTGCTCCGAAACTTTCATTTTACTATATTGTAGAGCCATGTTGCTGCTGACTGAATCAAATCCCCAGCACCAGTGCAAGTGTCTGCTCCCACCCTGAATCTACAATATGCCCCACCCACACTCTACTACATCACAATTTTCATAAAGTAGTATTCATATAAAATTTTTCTTCATTTAATAGTCAGTTGTGCTTATTTTAAATTGTAATGTATAAAAACGTAGGTAGAAAAAAAAGCAAACGTTGATAAGACAATGAGGGTCATAAAGGATTGCTCGGAACCCCCAATCAGCCTTAGCTCTCCTGGTTGAGGAGCTCAGGAGCAGTATATGCTAAACATTTTTTTTTTCAACTTTATTTTAAAATAAAATTTCACCTTTCTCAAATTTTAAGCATTTTATAAAGTTCAAACTTAACTTGCTGAACATGATGATACTCATTTAAAATTATTACTAATGATAATTAAACCGAAAGAAAAAAGTCTATAAATGTAATTTCAGCTTGATTTTTCAGCAAACAGAAAAAGAATTTATGGAAAAAAAATATTATAATTTTGTTTTCTTACAATGAAATCTAGATATCTATTTTATATTATAAATTAACTGATTTAAAATATGGTTTCTTCGCTACACAGTAATAACCATGTTTCAAAAACTGAATATCTATTTTATATGGTCAGACAAGATCAGGGGTTCTCAACCAGTGATGAATTCTCTCCCAGTAGAGAGTTTCAGTGTTTCAGTGGTGGTGAGGGGGAATTGGGGGCCACAGATTGGTAGACTGAAAATGTTAACTTTCGAATTCCCCAAAGTGGCACAACCGGCAGTGTACATCAGTCCGAGCAACTAAGAGGTCACGCTAGGTTTTCTTTTTGCTAGCCCTTGAGTTTTTTGCCACTACAAAAATAATCCACATAAATGTATATGTACTAATAGGGAAAAGAATGGAGATTTTCAATAATATATACATATTAGTTTTGAGTTTTGGAAAGTGGGGGAATGACATCCTGACTTATGGTAAAAAGGGGCCATCAGGCAAAATAGGTTGAGGATTCAATTTAGCTAACCCAATGAATACAAAATAAGGGCCTAATTTAACATTAGACTTACATTGTATATTGGACTATCACTTTGCGATCTTCAAAAATATGCTGCAGTAACTCATTAGTAACTAGAAAAAAAAGGTGTCCACAGCTATGATTTATTTTTTTTAAGGCTTATCAACCTTGTGTAGGTTATTTAAAGTCAGAAAATATTTTTAGATTGATTTTTTGAGATAATGATCTACTAATAAATGTCTTTCCAATTAACCCATGGCCAGGGGTATTCATGCATAAGTAAATATAATGAACCCAACTGGAATTTGAACTCGGCTCTCTGATTTCCTATTTGAGTTGTTACCCAACACACTACCTGCACATCCAAGCTTACTGCACCTGGTATTTCCAAACAGTCACCCATCTCAGTACTGACCAAGCCTGACATTGCTTAACTTTGGCGATTGCCTGAGAACTGGTGTTTCAACATGATATGATGATAAGCCCCCATAGCATCCTTGAGTTTTATGATGACAGACAACTGAACAAGAATGCATTTGATGAGACTTGCATCTTATCCCTTAAGAGCTTGTCTTTCAAAAATGCTTCACATTTCTAAATAAATTTTTTCTTTTGAACAGGAGTGAAGGTATTTATACTATTTACATTGTTTTGACTGTTGTCCTTATCTTTGTTGCCATATTCATAAGAAACTGAATTTCGAAATTTCAATCACCTGAAGAAGGCCTGAGTGTACAACAGATGAAATGCCATAAATATGGCAACAAATATGAGGACAACAGTCCAAACAATGTAAATAGTGTAAATAATTACAATGCCTCATATGAGAAATATAGACAGAGAAGTGAAGGTTTATCCCTTGTTTCCTGTTTAGAATTAAGTGTCCAGTTCCTTTTAAAGTTTACTTCAACTCTATACTTATAACGTCTCTGCCTGAACTTTGAAATCTTATTTACTAATTATTTTTTTCTCTTCAATAGTAGTAAACAGCTTCACACTCCTCCCCGGTTTTTAGAACAGGAGTATAGGTTTATCCCTTGCTACCTGTTTAGGATCAGGTTTCTGGTTGCTTCTAAAAAATTTTCATTCTCTTTCACTCTCAGTATCGTTTTGCGTCTTAGTGGCTTCTCGCCTTGCTTGGGTAGAATTGAAAAAAAAAAAAAAAAGAGAGAGAATGTTTATCTGAGCTCATGACATTGAAAAAATATGAATATCTGTGAGAAAAAAAAAAATGCAACCGAATTTTGTGAAATGAAAATATAAAAAATTATCATTTAAAATTGTCTTAATTTTATTTTGTTTTAGATCTTTAGTTTTTTTAAACAGAAAACGTTAACTTTGCTTTATGGGTGAATAATAATCTTGGAAAATATGGACATTTAAAATAAAAAGTAAAAACTCTAGCGAATAGGCCCACCAATGCTTTCAAAAACAAACTGAATTTATTAAATAAATTTGACATCTCCTCTGTAAATTTTTTAGCATTTGTGCCACTTAAAATGAAATCACCATATTGCAATCCCTGAGCTTGAAACGAATCCGTTGGTCAGAACTTGCATAAATTATTTCTAACGGCAAGGTAAGTGAAACGAATCCTTACAATCCCATTCATTACTTTTCATCTGAAAATAAAAGGGAGAGAAACAAAAATTGCAATAGATAGAAGGACAAAATGCAGTTGATTCATAAAAATGAATGACTGTTGCCACCGGTAAAAATAATAATAATAAAAAAATAAATAAATAAAAAATTGGCACGAATTTGATGGGGATGAAGTAAGTCTAAAAAGTTAAACCCATAGAAAAAGAACAAGGCTGTAAGAAGATTCATTGATCAAAAATGAGTAACCGGATGTGACGTTTTAAGATGGCGAATATTTGTTTGAATGAAACCACGTGTTTATTTGGTATTTAATTTTTTTTATTTCAAATAAGATATTCGAGATTAAAAAAAAAAAAATACAAATTAAAATTGATCCATAACCAATTTTTAGTTCGAAATGGAGAAATTTCAGCCCAATGGTTCGTAGTTTTTTATTTATAATTTGTTTTATTTTTTTAAAAATGTTCTGATTTCATTTATTTAATTTATTCGAAAGTTTGCAGACAAAATATTGTTTTGAAGATGAGTGTTTTCTTATGTTCCTCCAACACAGCGATTCAATCTGTTGAATATGAATGAAATTAGTAGCGCTTACCATCAAGCGAATGTTCAATATCACATCCTCCTTCGTCAACTGCCATCATGTGAGTGACCATGTCGATATCCAAATTTTTCACGCGTACTTTGTAAAAAAAAAGCTCATTCCAAACTTGATACCAGTTCATATTTTTAAATTATTTTTTTTACTTTAAAAATCGGTAAAATTTTAAAAATGAATTGAATAGCATAAATTAAAAAAGGTGTCATTTAATGCATTTTGGCCCCAAAATAAAAAGCTCGTATCCTTAGCCATATCTAGTAGAGACCTTTATTTTTATTTTTTTTTGTCTGATTTCTCCCTTAAATTTTTTTTTTTTATTTATTTTGTCGGTAAATTTTGGTTTTAACACATGAGCGCTAAATAAAATTTTGCAAAATCAATTCGAGTTCAGCATGTACATTTGCACGGAATTATGGCGATTTTGGAAAATTTTAAGGGATATTTAGCGCTCGGGTGTTAAAACCAAAATTTACCATTTTGTCTTATTTTCATCACTATTTACATTTTATTATTTTTAAATGCTTCTACTGAGAAAAAAAAAACTCTTTAACAAGACTACGAAGGCGCTAAAGAGAAGAAACGGACCGGTGTTATTTGTAGGAGTGAACGAGTTATTGGCCTTGGCACAGCTAATCGTTTTCAGTTATGATGATGATGACAATGAGTAGAAGATTTCTGGAAACTGGAGCAAAGAAAACAAGAATAGTAATAATGATAATAATATAGAAGAATTATAATAAACGAGAATGGCAACAGAAAAAAATCAACACTCACAAACAAATTAAAAAAAGCTAAAAATGGGAAGATAACTCCATACAAAACGTAAGGGAAATTTCAGATAATAATTCTTGTACAAGGGACTGGAAGCTGTGGAGTGCCGTGGTCGTTTAGATCTTGAAGGGACGAAGACATGACTGCCATTAGTAGAATTATTAAATAATTATTATAAATAATAGCAATTCACAACAAAAACATAAGGTTTTATTATGTGAAAGCAAAAAGAAAATTTTTTTTAAAAAAGCCATAGAAAATGGTGTTTTAGTGGGTAGCAAAAAGTAATAACTCATCGGTTTTTATAAATTTCACAATAAAAAAATTGTTCAATTTAAACTTACTTAAAATATTTTAATGAACATTGCCTCCCTAACTAAACATAAAAAATTGGCAATAAAAGTACATAAAAACAATGTTTCTTAATTTTCCTTTATGTTTAGTTAGAGACGATATTCATTAAAATATTTGAAGTAAAAAGGTATCATTCGAATTGAACAATTTTTTGTTGTGAAATTTATAAAAAACCAATGTGTTAAATACTTTTGCTACCCACTGTGTTCTTCAATTCTTACATTGCTGCAGGTTTTTCTACTTAAAAAATAAATCTACTTTTTCTATTTTTACCAAAAAAATTTTTTTTGTTCAGATTATGAAAAGTTTGGGAAAATACCCTAAGGAAAGCTATGAATCCACCTCTTCTCTCCCCAACTATGAGTTAATTAGTAAGACTTGTATCACAAAATCATTATTAACTCAAAAAAAAAAAAAAATCCTCCAATAAAAAAATATTTTCTGGATTTAAATAACCTGCAATGGGTTGATAAGCAAAAAAAAAAAAAAAATCAAAGATACTGCACTTTCAAAAAGTAATCAAAATCTTTCCTTTTAATTTGATCTGTTGGTGGAACCTAGAATATATCATCTGTAGCCCCCAGAACTTCGCTCCCAATTTTCTTTCCTGTGCTAATTAACCATTATGATTTTTTTTTTTTTTTTTTTTTTTTTTTTAAACATTTCACCCCAATCAAGGTGAGAGTGCCACTAGCACACAGGGGTTACAGAGAGTGGGAGCAAGAGTAAAGAGGCGTGATAGAGGAAAGGCATCTAGAGATGTCGATTCACATTACATTTGAATAGTTGGAGATTATAGCTATCAGGGAAGCAAATAAGAGGAAGGAGTTCTACAGACGGGAAGTGCGAGACATGAAGCTATTGGAGTAGAAGAGGCGGCTACATTTAACCGTTTCAACAGTGAAAGGGTGGGACTGAGATGCCAACCTAGTTGCACGCTTAAATTCATGCAATTTAGGAACCAGCGAAAGTAGCTCATCAGAGCAGTTACTGTGAAAGTATTTGTAGAAAAGACTTTGCTCATCGTTAATGAGTTCAGATTTATAAAAAAAAATTAAACAAATTTTTCTATTTTAAAATTTGATAAAATTTAATTATGAATTAATTGCAGACTGATATCTTTAAAATGGAAATTTAATCCATAGCTAAAAGCAAACATTACAATAGAAAAAATAAACTGCAATTTAAACAATCCTCACATAATAAAAATAATTTATTGCATTAATATTTACAAAATGATTTGAATAAAAAAAAGAAAAAATTTACAATTTAAACAATCCGTATATCCTAATAAAAAATAATTCACTGTTAATATTTAGAAAATTATTCTCATATTGAAAATAAATTTTACAATTAATACAATCTCTATATTATAATAATTTATTGCATTTATGATTCATTGCATAAATGATTCAAATAAAAAACTAAAATGTACAATTTAAATAATCCTCACATCTTTTGTCCTGGGTATGATAATAAACTATAAACAACCTCTTAACTACTGTTGTTCCTAGATCCACCCTGACCTGGGGTGGTAGCACCTGTTAGGGTCTCAGCTATGAACTATTAGTGATCCCACCCCAAACAAAAATCAACAGTTCATATAATAAAATAAGCAACTATACATTATATAGCAAAATGACAATGCAACACTAAAAAAATTAAAAATACATTTTTATTATAAAATTACCAACAATACATTTTATGATCTACAAATTATATATCTAAAAACATAACTTTTATTCTGAAAGTATAAAATTATGTACAAAATATTTGTAGTTAAAAGCATAAATTTACATACAAAATATTTAGATTTCAGCATTGAATAACCTATGGAAGTGTTGATATGCCATTGAATAAAACCAACCAACCAACCACACATCCTGCTAAAAATTAATTCACTGTATCAATATTTAGAAAATTATTCTAATATTGAGAATAAACTTTACAATTTAAGCAACATTCTCTTTTGTAAAAACTAAAATTCCTGTTTTTGGTGTTTTGCCTTCATATCCAGAAACTTTTGCATCATAGAAACTTCACAAACATTCCACCTGAAGAATGCATACCAAACATTAGATTACTAGGAATCAGAAAGTCATATGACATATTCTTCCTGAAATACTAGCAGAAATATCTAAAGGGCTG